GTTATCTTAGCGGCACTGCCACTCACGGTATCTACCTGACTCGCTCCTCGACAGACTATCTCCAGGCTTATTCTGATGCTGATTGGGCTGGCTGTCCCGACACCAGACGCTCCACTTCCGGGTACTGTATTTTTCTGGGTGACAACCTGATTTCCTGGTCTTCAAAACGCCAGGCCACCACTTCCCGTTCCAGTGCAGAGGCAGAATACCGGGCTGTGGCAAATGCAGTTGCTGAGACTTCTTGGGTACGAAATCTTCTTCTTGAGCTCCAGCAACCACTACGACGCGCCACCCTTGTCTTCTGCGACAACGTCAGCGCCGTCTATCTCTCATCGAACCCAGTTCAGCACCAGCGCACTAAGCACGTTGAAGTCGACATACACTTTGTGCGAGACAAAGTAGCACTCGGCCATATTCGAGTCCTTCACGTGCCCTCCTCTTCACAGTATGCTGACATCTTCACCAAAGGTCTACCTTCTCTACTCTTCCTCGAGTTTAAGTCCAGTCTGGGTATCAGACCCCCTCCTCATCCGACATAGCCGGGAGCATGTTAAATATATTCTATATTTAATGTAAATATATTGTTTCCTATTATTGTCTCCTACCTTGTATAGGATTAGAAATATATTGTTTCCTATTATTGACTCCTACCTTGTATAGGATTAGGAACTCTTATGTATATATAGACATGTACTCCCACATATTTGATCAATGAAATTAACCTTTCTACATATATTCAGTCACAATGGGAATGAGGCCTAATGTGCCCAAATAAAGAATGTGTTTTTTATATTCAACCGTTTTTCAATGTATCAAGAAAGTCATAATGGTCAGCTAAAAAAGAAATGGTTAAAAGTACCTTGAACCACACGGCTTCAGGACCGCAGTTGGCTCCAAACTTGTTCAAGGCTTCTGGGATTATGAAACCAGCCGCGCCAAGCATGGCCCACCGCGCGTGGATCACCTCAAATGCTTGATTTCTGCACCAATCCAAAAAATTAAAAAAAAATCGGGGCCTTAAAAATTTGGAGGCCCTAGGCCTGGAGAAGGCTCTACAGGAAAAGATGAAGTATTAATTATGGTAGCTTTTGTATTCTGATAAGTTTTTCATTGTCTTATATGTAGTAGTTTTTTAATTCTGTTAGAACGACTAACGTATAGCACTTCTTCGCTACGTTTTGAGTAATACAATTATTCTATCACCGAAACGACTAGCCACCAGACTTACTTGGCAAAATTCTCGGGTTTCTTGCCAAGGCCAAACGGATCATAACCGTAACTGCATGAAAGAAAGGAAAAAAGAACATAACAACAAAACATAAGGGAAGAAAAAGATGGAGACAGAGATTAAAAAAACACATCACTTACTCTCCAGGAATTTCACCAGCCAGGTACTCTGGGATTTCTGATCTCTCCAAAAGCCCCGGGGGCAAGAAAAGTCTTCTATCCGGCCCTATAAGAACAAAAACAAAAACCAAATTGTCTGGTCGGTCTTGGAGATAGCTGATAGAATTTAGGATGGGGTAGGGATCAATGGTCTGATCCATAAGACACTATAATTAAACTACATTTTAAAATATTGAATTCAATCGACTACCTAGTTCAACTCAGGAGCTTATAAACTCATTCGTTTTTTTCTTCAAGTTCGATGTCGGACTCTAACATAAGCTTACAACAACAACAACAATAACCCTATACAAATCCCACGAAAGCCGTGGTTCCGGGAGGGTGTGTGTATGCATACCTTACCCCAACCAGAAAGTAGAGACACTGTTTCCAAGAGACTCCTGGCTCGAGCACAAAAGCATATAACAAGGCAAGAAACAAAGACCAAAGTAAAATATAAAAAAGAGCAAGAATGCACTATTTGAAAATTTTAAAATGAATTTTTTCATTGTATAAATGTGTTATTTTTTGTCAAAGGTCTACATTATTGATCATGAAAAATCAAATTTTGCACCAATTTTAGATGAAAACTACTTCATTCAAAACAAAACAGAGCCTAATACATGCTTTTGCAAAGGGCTTTTCTAAATTCCAGAGAAATTTAATTTCGAGTAATTTTTAAAAAATGTGGGAAAAGGAAAGGCCAATAACTCACCATACCACTTTGAGATCTCTTCTTCAGCGGGGGAAACAGAAGAAGAAGAAGGCTTGGGCTTCACCGGTGCCGCCGCCTTACTATTGTTATTCTTCTTCTTCTTCTTCAACGCCGGGAACGAGAAGAAGGCAAGCGTCTTGAGCTTCGACGACGCGCCGCCGCACCTGATGGATTTTCCGGGAACCTCCGCCTTGCCGAGGGAGGCCGCCGCCGCCGATGCCGCGAGGGACGCCATTGACTGACTTTACGGCGTTTCGAAATGGGAAGGAAATGTGGTTTGAGTTTTGAGTCTCGTTCCGTGGCTTCGTTTTTTTAGGTGGATGTGAAGATGCCACGTAGGACGGACTTTGTGTAATCTGGAGCAGCTATTTTTGATTGGGGAGGAGGTGATGAGGTGGCAGAGGATAGTGCTGACGTGGCTCGGATAACCGGATCTTGTGGATTGCTGGGGAAAGGAATGGATAACGTGTCCTATCCATCCACATTTCTATTTGGGGACTGGTTACATGACTTACATCCAAACCGGGCTAGGGGTGTTAACAAATACTCTCTCCGTCCCAATTTATACTGTCTGTTTCGATTTACGATTTTTGAGTGAAATTATTTTCAAATCATTTTATACGACAAATGGTATAAAATTAAAAAATAAAAGTTACATATTAAAATACTATATCAAAAGATCTACAAAACTAGTAGTGACAATAGTAGTTTATTTTATCAGATAACTAGTAAAAATTGAGAAAGAAAGTGAATGAAGTTTGACCCTATGAATAGTAAACATGCATTATAATTTGGGACAGAAGAAGTAGAAGTTACTAATTTTATGAATCGAGCACCTAAAGTGTTCGTAATGAGGGAGTGACCCGAGGGTCATCTGTTGACATTGGATGTCGGAATCTTACTGATATAAAAAACGACATTGTCCCTAATGTTAACCTCAAGAGTTGCTCCGACCATCTTCTCTTTGAGTTTTTTTGCACCATTTATCCTTGAACTTTTAAAAAATTGCACGGATCATCCCTTAAATTTAATATTTGCACCAATGTCCCCTAAATATTTAAAAATGTTGCGGCAATGGTCCCTATACGTCAGATTTAGGAATGTATTAATCATGCATTCATCTAGTGCAAGTATGAATTTATCTAAAATTACATATCATACGCGAGTTCTGTAATATATCTTTCTCAAAAATTATCTTCTATATTTTTAACTTCTTTAAGCCCTAAAGAGTTGTTCTCGATTTAGCCGACAATAACCAAATTCAAAGGCCGGACATCATTTATTAAAGCTCGTCATCAATCGATCAACTTGTTATATAATTCATGGCATCTTCATCAAGATACAACATGTATATTGATGAGCGTGTGATTAACGCATTTCCAGATCTGGCACAGAAGGATCATCGGTGCAAATTTTAAAGTTCGGGGTAAATTCGCACAATTTTAAAAAAATTCAAGAGTAAATGACCCAAAAAAGAACCTTTTTTATATTCTCCCTGGCATGCTCTTGACTATAAATCCATATTAGTGAATGAAAAAAGAGTGGTGCTAGGAAAACCTCACTTGGTGTACACCAAGACAAAAACATATATAAACAAATACTCAATATTTGTACGTGCAAAAACATTTATTATTTATGTGTGCCTCTTTTTATCTTAATGGATACTTGACGGGGTTCCCGAGTATTTTTCAAAAAAAAAAAAAATAGAGTACCCATTGGAATAAAACTTAAATTAAGTTCATCCATTCAGTTTTCGTGGATTTTGTCTGAATAGAGTAAATTTTTGAGTTATTATGTTGAACAATAGTGAATACAAAAAGGCCATACAAACCACGTCTCAACAGACATTTATATACTCGAATAATTCAATTATTATATCCGCTAAAAGTAGCTAAAGTCTAACACAACCAGCTCCCAAACAATACCTATATTTTAACAACCTTTGATAGCAAAGAAAATTCGCATCTAGTTACAGAGTGAAACCCAATAAAATTGATACCAAATCAAATGCTTTCTTTGCTACGGGCGTCGTCTTCGCCATTTGTCGAGCTCCTGAGAAGTTTCCCTGACCAGTTTCTTCGCGTTCTTGATGAGATCATCGAAGAGGGTATCAATCTCGTACCTGACAGGCAAGCAGTTAGTACATCCACCTGCTTCTTGTAATCACAAGTACGAGGTTGTTTGGGACTGATGATTCATAGAAAAGCAGAAGCCGTAATCGAGAAACGAAAAGCATCTAATCCTAACTTTGGTAAATAACAGTTTTTGGAGTCAGTTTTGCACATCTAGAGCCATAAACCCATAAGAAAAACAAATTTGCCAAACATACGAAACTATATTTGGACGAAGAAGAAGCTCAAAATTTGGTTTTTCTAACAGAGTCCCAAACACCATCTATCTCAAAGATATATACACAGCTACTGTTCCACCAACCCATTCTAATCCCGCAACTAAGTTTAAACTTTTCGTTTTTGTTCATCCCAAGATAAGGTTTGCACTTCTCTCTCTTTTTTTCGGAAAAACAATATCTCTTCAAAACAACTTCTAAACACCCACATCGTGTCTTACATTTTTCTTAAACCTTGTGAAGTCAAGACATAAATTTCTTTGCGGGGTGGAGGGAGCATCATCTTGGTTTGTTGGTCAAATAACAGCGGGTGAAGATTACATAGTGATCTAAACAAAAAAACAAAACACGTTACAATTCTAACTCTGTTGGGAGACAGAATGTCAAGGTTTAAGTAGCTTTATCTATGTGAAAAACAATGGTTGTTGTCGTTAAACCCTTGTTACAACCCAAAACTTCATAGAGACTTAGAGAGTAAGAAGCAAAAGTTCAATGTTTCATTTTGATCAGTCCATTATTTACCCAAAGTTAAAACATTGTCAATGATTACTCTTTTAGCTCCACTCACAATCAACATATCACATGGCATGAATAAACCAAACACTAATTCCCGGCTGAACTCTATATAAGGCTAAACAATAGTGATTGTTGGGATTCCTCCAAGTCCCACGCCAAAGGTAGAGGAGAAGAGAGACCAAAATAAATAGGTCTAACCCAACCCATTAGTAATTGTATGAGCAACTGTAAGGGCTTTGTTCAGAACGGGCAATATCATACTAATGCGGGGTTGGGTTGAAGGTACGCGCATATTGACTCAGGCACACAGCCCAGCATGATGTTTATGTTCATAGAAAACATTATGTGGTTCCTATAGTTTTCATTTTCATAAGTATCAATCATATAGTTTTTGAATTGAACAAAAGAATGCTTTGAGTGCAGAAAACTAAAAAAATTTACAGTAGGGGTAACTCACTGAGTAGGAAGATTGCCATTGCGATTGAAAATCCGGCCGACATTAGAGTGTCTGCGTTTGTCATCATAAGCAACGCCCCGCCCGACAGCGTACCCGAACCCTAATCCAACACCACACCCGGCTCCCAATCCGAACCCGATCTGCAATCCAGGAATCCCCGGACCAATCCCAGCTCCTTCAACAACAACCAGATGAGCTAATGTCAGTTATAGTTACAGATTAATTCCTAAAAATTCAGGTAAAATCACTACTCTTTTGTGGGGAAAAAAGGAGGGGGGAATAAACCTCCGATGAGACCGACGCCGAACCCGAGCCCGCACCCGATACCGAGTCCGAAACCGGGGCCAAGCTTGCCTAGATCCTTGGACTTAACCGCCGGTAACTTCCACAGCAATCCCTTCTCTTCTTCTCCTCCGCCGCCGTTCATCCTCTCCGGCTATCGTTTGAACTCGGACGCGCGGCGGAGAAGCAGATTTTTCTAGAGGTTCAGGTTAATTTACAGAGTACTCACGGGTCATACTTATATTGTTAAATTAAAGATCATTTTTGAAGTTAGAAATTATCCTAAATAAAACTAAAACATAGAGAAAATTATCAAAATAAGACTTTTATGTTTGTTTTTCCGGAATAGGACTTTGTACTGTGGTAATGTGACTTTGCATTGTGGTAATGTGGCAGTGTACACGTGCAAATTACTATACTTTTTTGGAAATGTATATGACCATGTTTGGTAATGTAAGTCCTATTTCGGGAATAAAAATATGAAAGTCCTATTTTGGTATATTTTCAATGTTTTAGTCCTACTTTGGTCTTTCTCCCTTTTGAAGGATACAATTTCTTATCTAATACTCCCTCCGTCCCTGAAACATCTTCCCCTTTCATTTTTTCTTTGTACCTCAAACTCCTTTCTTTTTCTATTAAAAAATTACTTTTACTCCTTACTTTTTTATACCCTACCTATTACATCATACCTTTTTACTAATAATCTATCTATCACATCTTACTTTTTATCAATCACATCTATCAAGGGTGTTTTTAGAAAGTTAATACCAAAATATCCCTCCCTTAATTTTCCAAAAAGTCAATAAGGGAACTTTTTTCGGAACGGAGGGAGTAGAATATAAAGATTTTATTATTTTAAGGTACAAAAGTTAATTGTTTTACAAATAACGAAGTACTTCTTTATAAACTACATTACTCGTATAATTTTTTTATATCAAACTTTTAAAACATTTATTTATTTAAAGACTTCTTCATGATTTTCTACTCCGAAAGCATGAATCTTATTTAAGAACTCAAGAGAGTGATTGAGAATGATTGTATTTAAAGTATGAAAAAATTAAAGTATTTTTCTATTTCCATGCATCTAATTTTTTTCTGGGTAAGTTATTAATTAGTGGTTGATTGTTCAACATATAAAGGTATATATTATTTAATATGTTTCCATGTATTAAAGGCACGCCTCTTAAAACGTTGTCTCCATAAAACGTTTGGGCTTAGATCTCTAAATGGAAACATTATTAAATTGAAAGTTTATTTGGTTAGAATTATTACACGATAATAATAACTAAGTACGATAATATTATTACATGGTATATTATTATTATTATTATTATTATTATTATTATTCTTTCACAACAATAAATTAATAATGATTAAATATATTAATATTATTGCACGGTATATTAGTATTATTATTTTTTTCTACATGGTAATACATGATCTATTCTTGCTACAAAGTAATTTATGATTTAGTTATTATTTCTATATTCAATACTTAACATATGTGCCACAATTTCTATGTATTACTTTGACATTTTTTTATATTTAATTTCTTTTATGATTTTTTATTTTGATTTTTTTAATTGTGCCTTCCTTAAATGCATAAAATTATATATTTAAATTTCTTCATAAAATATTTGACACCGAATCTCTAAATGGAAACATAATTAAATTGAAAGCTTATTTTCTTAACATAATCACACCGTAATAAATTAATAATGATTAAATATGGTAATATTAAGTTTGGCCATGTTCTCTAAATGGAAACATTTTTAAATTGAAAGCTTCTTAGATTAGAATTATTGGACGATAATAATGACTAAGTAGGGTAATTCTATTACACGGTATATTATTATCATTCTTCTTACATGGTAATAAATTAATAATGATTAAATACGGTAATATTATTACACGATATATTAATATTATTATTCTTGTTACACGGTAATACATGATCTATTCTTATTACACGGTGATTTATGATTTAATTATCATTTATTTATTCAACACTTACTATATGTACCACCATTTCTATGTATTACTTTGACATTTCTTTTAGATTTGATTTCTTTCCGTAAAGGAAACAAATGGTTTGTATGATTAAAATGGTTTGTTTCTAAATTGGAAAAGGAAAAAAATGGTTTGTATGATAAAAATGGTTTGTTTCTTAATTAGAAATTATATAAATTACAAAACTGTAAATTTAATGCATTGATTAAAAAATTTACAACATAACGTGATTATTACCTTTTACGGACAAATATTATTTTTAGTTGAATGGTAATCATTTTTTTATTATATGAATTCCAATTTTATAAAAAAGTTTGGTATTAGAAAAGAAGTTTATATAAATAATATTTTTTTTATATTTTGTTTCCTTTTTAGAAATATATTAGGCATGCAAAATTTCCTTTAATTTATCATTCTAAATAAGAATAGAGTAATTAAGTAATTCTGCATGCAAAATTATTCTAAAAAGGAAACAATGTAGATCTTGTTTGCGAAATTAGTCCCTTCCTTTTTTATCAGAATTAAGTAATTATGCATGCAAAATTTTCTTTAATTTATCATTCTATTATTCTTAAAAGTATTTCCTTTTAAGAATAAAGTGATTAAGTAAATAATTACCTATTTAATTAGGCATAAATAATTACTTTTTGAAAAAATAATCAGGCATAAATTATTCCAAGTAATAATAATAATAATAATAATAATAATAATAATAATAATAATAATAATAATTAGGCGTAAATATTTACCTATTTAAAAAGGAAACAAAATATAAAAAATCTCCTGCATCGTCCCTTCCTTTTTTATCACAATCAAGTAATTATGCGAAATTAGTTAGGAAACAAATTACTCCCTTCCTTTTTATGCATGCAAAATTTCCTTTAATTTATCATTTTAAATAGGTAATATTACACAACCAATCATAGCCGTAGATCTTATTTGTTCCTTGATATCGACGGTGCAGGAGATGAGTGCATTGGCGGGAAAATAATTCCCCTGCTTTTAAGAATAGAGTGACTTTCCGCTTCTGGTTCGGGAAAGGCGCTCGTTCCTATTCCTAAAATGGAGTAACCGGAATGCCAATCGACCAGTAAAGGTTCAGTTCCGGTTCAACGGGCGATTTTGTTTGATTCAAGTTTGAACGCTAATAGACTGACAAGTGAATCTCTTCTTGTTTTTTTATAAAAGGCCTCAATATACTAATGTTTATAAAAAAAACATGAATATTAAGACCACGTAAGAATTTACCAATAAAAATATACGGAGTATTTAATAAAAATATACTCCTTCCGTCCAAAATTAAAGTTCCCACTTTTCTTTTTGTTCCGTCCACAAATAAAGTTCTCATTTCCTTTTTTAGTAAGTTTTACAGGGTTAAAAGACAAAACTACCCTCGTCTTCTTGTTTTCTTCTTCTTTTCTTGTTTTCCTCTTCTTCTTCTTCTTCTTCTTCTTCTTCTTATTTCTTCTTCATTTTTTTCCTGTTTTTCTTCCTTCTTCTTTTGTCAATTAAAAGAAGAAATTTTTTTTCAAATCTGGTTGCATCTTCGTCGGATCTAGATTTGGAGGAACAATTTTTTTATTTTTTTCCAGATCTATGGTGGGATGTTGATTTTCTTCCCTAACGAGAAGTCTAAAAATAGATCTTTGAAGGCGGGAGCTTGTGACGGCGAGAGAAGCAAGTTGTGACGGCGAGAGGGATGCTAGGGGCTGCGACGGCTGGGCGCTGCAATGCCCGGAGCTTTCGACGGCGGGGATGCGAAAGCATCATCGACGGCGGTGCAGAAGCGGTGCAGAAGTGGAGGCGGCGGCGGTGCAGAAGCGGCGGCGACGGCGGTGCAGAAGTCTCGGTGTCAGTGGTGTACAGGGGTAGACGGCTCCATTGGGGTGTACAGGGGTAGAAAAGATTAGGGGCATAAAGGGAAAGTCAACACAATTTTCATTCCACCTAAATTTGCGCAACGAGTCAAAGCAGGAACTTTAAATGTGGACGGAGGGAGTTTACCTGAAAAAATTCGAGTAAAGCATAAAAAATACAAATTTTCTTCTAAAATTAGTTTTCTATTAAATTATAAATATAACTAAGCAAATAAGCTAAAAATTGTAAGAACCAACGGAGGGGTTTCCATGACATTCGAACCTCATGTCATGGGATGACCCGATGCTACTACAGTATTCCGTTCATAAAACTAACAATTCTTACCCTTCTAACCCCTCCTCCCAGCCCCGGTAAACCCCCCAACCATCCCGACCCAAACACAGTCCCACCCTCCAAAGTCACATAAACTAGTCCAAAAGAAGGCGGGGGGAGGGGGAAGAAGGTACGTTCAGGTCATGGCGCGGTGAGGGGATTTACTAGGAGGATTAGAAGGTGTGGGAACCCTCAATTTTACGAAAAAATACCGTAACAGTCCCAGACCCACATTCTAAAATGATTCCATCAAATAAAATAATTTAATCATAGTTAACTTTATTGATCTTTTCCTGCTATTTTAGAATACTTCTACCATGAATTTTAGGTCTTCATAACAATATATGTGATGTAATTTTGACATAAAATAAATTGATTAAAAAAATTAAAGTAATAAAAAAATTTCACAACATTATGAAAATACTCGCGTAGCTATTAAGGTCCATAAATTCTAAGGTGAATCTCCACCCAAAAATTTACCACTTGTTGAACATTTCCTATTTCATGTGAGCTTTCTTGTGATTGGCATGTCACTATGTTCAGTATATTGTGTTACAATTGGATCAATGTCCACAATTTACAACATATGGGATAAAAAAAGAATACAATTTACACAAATAATAAAAATATTACCACTAACAATGATAATAACAACACATTCCTATAATGGTGAAGGTGAGATGTTAATCATGTTATATGCTCATTGCTCTTGATGAAACTGATTCAACGCCGCGATCCGGATGTTGGGAGTCGACATTCCCCTGCAAAATCGTGTTCGTGTAAAAAAAGTCAGCAAAAGAAACATATCGATAGATACTCGCTTATGCTTTTAAATATTGTTGATTTACTAGTTAAACAATAATGTAAAACATGGAACAAAAATCTTGTTTGTGTGTGCTATAGTGTACAAGTAGCACAGCCAGAAATTGAATTCAGGCACATTTCTAGAAACGTATAAGTGCCCGTTTGGGGAGTGGGGTAGAGTTTATATGATATGAGTTTTGAAAACTCGAAGAAATGATAGAAGTTCTAAAATCTGATCCTAATTGGGGATGCTTTGTGCACTAGCCTTGAACATTAGTTAAACCTACCTTTTGATCTTCACGACTCTCAGCAAGGTAACGTTCCAAAGCACCATCACCGAGGAGTAATTTTCCACCACACCCAGGGGCACTTTTGGAACCAACAGACTTTTCATCTACTACAACAGCATCGACTTTTTCATCCCCCGCTTTCGCTTCAGGAATCTACGCGTAAAAGGCAATGATGATTGAGCGGTTACCTCTTTCAATGCAATTCATTGTTAAAGAAATAATTACCTCATACATAGCATCAGTTAATATGCTCTCAAGCAAGGCTCTTAACCCTCTTGCACCAGTGTTTTTAGTAAATGCTTTCTTTGAAATCAATCTCAATGCCTCATCTGTAAAATGTAGCTTGACCTAAATATAATTTTTCAAATAGCACAAAGTTAGACCATAAGACTAAAATAAAACCTAACCTAACCTAACAACCCCAGTAAGAGGGTGTTTGGCATTGTGTTTGAAAACTACTACTAAAATTCTGCTGTTTAGCATGTTTGGAAATCTACTTCTACTTATAGCTTATGACTTTGAAAGTCTAAAATGAACTCCGGAAGTGCATCTCAGCAAAGCTAAGACTAAGTGGCCTCCATTTTTACTTATAACTTATGATTTTTCAAGAATCTAACACAATCCCAATTACCCTCTAAATTCCACTCAAGAGTAGGGTCTTTTTTGTTTCTTTTTTTTTGGGAGAGAGAGAGATGCAATCCTCCCCAAGGAGTAGAGAGATTGTTTACGAGAAGACCCTACACATACAGTGACAAGTAGAGATATTGTTTACTACAAGGCTTAAACAATTTCTCAATACCTATTCGTGTTTTGGGGTGGGGAGAAGTATGAGCAAACAAATTAACATAGACATGCGTTCACTCATGTAGCATTGCAAAAAAAAAAATTTGAGGTGATAAAAAACTGCTTACTTTGTTCATACTAAATAGTTTCTTGTACTGTCTACTTAGAGCATTTTTCGGTTCTGTTAGGACCTGAATGATATCAACCATCATTAGAATCTTCAACTTAAGAATGGCAAAGAAAACAATAAGTATATGTCTTGTAATAGTAGATCAGTGGAGTTTGTGTGTGTGTGTGTAGCTGGGGGTATCTGGTTGTATATAGCTTCCTAAATTATTATCTACTATGGCATAAAATAATGCATGTTCCTTGAAAGCAAAATCTCCAAAATACGCCAATAGTAACAGCAAGACTTGAAAGCTGAAACATTTGCTACCCGCTCATCAGGGTTAACAATGGAGAGAATGCACATCTTTTGATACATGCAGGGAGCATTGTGGACATGTGCTATTAAAACTGGACCGGACCAGCCCGTTGGACTGGAAATGATTGGGGGCCCCATCCACCCCATTATATGACCCATTTAATAGTGTGAACCGGTAAAACCAGGCATGAACATGTCATTTAAATGACCAGGCCAGTAACGGTATAAGGCGTATTTTTTAACACCTAAACACATTGCTGTGTCAATGTGTCATGATATTTACCAAGCATGTGAAATTTTGCTTTAGATGAAAAACTATTCCATAACACTTAACTGATACTACTGAAGAATGCTAATATATTCTCAACTGATCTGTAATCAGTTGAGATTCTGATAACATTGTTCTTGACTGAAACACGAGGTTTTGAATCGTAGTTTGGGAAAAAAATATTTAAGACAGCCAGATAAGAGGGATAAAATACTTGGACAAGTTGGTTCTCAGTAAGTGCTGACAAAGTAACTAAAATAGGGAGGCGCCCAATAAACTCTGGAATAAGGCCATATGCGATCAGATCACTACTCTCAACCTGAAGGCGCAAAAAGCAAGATTCAGATTAGCAATACACAACACATTTCGAGCCATTAATAATATTTTGGCTACTGGTTTCAAGCACAGCATGGCATCATTCGTACAGATTCTAGTAAAGATGATGTTAAAACAGCATCAGTAACTCCACCAGTTCTCATGTTGGCACGCACTGGCGCACCAAAACCAATGGAAGAATCCTGCCGCCTAACAAATAATGAAGTTCTCAGATTTTAAGAGGTTGGCAATGTTCATAGGGAATTTTACCGCAGGGGTGCAAAAAAAATGAAAATCACCTCTCAGAAATGGTCTTCTCCAGATCAACAAATGCTCCGCCACAGATGAAAAGAATATCTTTTGTATCAATCTGTTTAGGTACAATTGCAATTGAGAATTAGTAACATCAAAAAGGGAAATACAATGTCTCGTGCCAGAAAGGAGATAAAATAATACATATTAAACTGCACTTTGAGTTCAAGACTATAGAGCAAAGAAAGTCCTCTCACCAAGAAAGAAAAATAAATATGGAGCATAAAACAAAGCTTGGGTAACCACTGCAACTAATGAATTTGTTTGTAACTTTAAGCCAATAAATTGCAAAGTATAATGATTGATCAGCAAACACCCTAGCATGATATTCTAGAGTAATTAATATGACATTCTCATCATTTTATTAAATTCATGGATCTAGATTCTGCAGATTCCTTGTACACTGTATGATAGTTTATAAATGGGCAGATTCATGGTAAAGTGCAGAAGAAAACATTGAAGAAGTATATCTCACATTCCTTGAATCAGACGCCCTCTAAAAGGTAGTCATTGTCCAGTTCTAGAAGCGGAAGAGAAAAGAGAACGAGAATCCATTTTACCTTAATATGATCACCACGAGGATGCTTCCTTGCACCTTTTTCAGGAACATTTACAATCTGATGCAAAAAAATATTCATTTGTGAGCAGATCAAGTCCTTAGCATTTAAAGTAACAATTTAGCATTCTTGCAGGCCTCAATTCTATCCATGATATGATCCAATGTAAACTTCTAGTGAGTTATCCAATACTTGCAGACTAGTGGTACTGGTATTAGTATTGGCATATCATAATTCTCTCAAATTTCTATCCATCACAAACATGCCTTCAAGGCTATATCGAGTATTCAAAGGTCTTAGTTATGATCACTCATTGCAAGTTTCATAATTTTGAGTGTTTTTCTAGGTTTAGAATTTGGGTGCGGGAGGGGGGATCTTAAAATTAGGGGAAACGCAAACAAGCATCCCCAAACAATGTTCACTGTGCCGTACCAAAAATTGGATGAGTTCATGCCAAAAGATGGATCATAACTTTTTGTTCTTTCATTTCTATCATTTTTCAGTATAATTTTTCTAGCACTCCATTAACTACACACATTAGATACTAAAGCAACAAAATTACAAGGCTATGTCTTACAGTTCCTTCAAGCATTTTAAGTAGTGCCTGTTGAACTCCTTCACCTGAGACATCTCTGCTAACGTTCACGCTCTCAGCCTTGAAATGGAGAACAGAAGATGATGTATCAGATCTGGTACGCTTAACAGTTGAGCAACCAACACTATGAATTGTGAAAGAGTTGAAAAGATAAAAATGTATTACCTTCTTGGTTATCTTATCTACTTCATCAATGTAGACTATCCCTTGTTGTGCAGCTTGCACATTGAAATCAGAAACCTTCATGCCATATTTGAAATCTTAGAGATGCTTCACTCAGTTCAATGATAAATGCAGAAGATCATAAGAACATAAATGTACAACATGACAAATTGGCAATTTCTGTTACACAAACTACCATTCTAATGGAACCAAGTGATCTGCATAAGCCCCCAATGATTATGAAAAGTATAAATTAAATAAAAGAAACAAATAAACAACGGTTTGATAGAACCAAGGAAGGTCAACACTAATATGCAGCAGAAGAATGATTATAAAATCCTATTAGTTATTGAAACAAAGGTACACCAATGTAGTCTACAACCAGGCCTGGTTTCAGATATCACTAAAAAAGAGAGGAAAACTCTACCACAAGTAGTTTATACAGTATCGACTCAACATCCTCACCAACATAGCCAGCCTGAAAAATAAAATGATCTTTAATTAGTCAGTACTCGGTATGGAAGTTGAAGCATTCCTGGGCAGAGACAAGCTTAAAATGATAGGCAACCATTGAAGATTACCTATAGCACAAAAATACAAAAATGAAGAGCAAATAATTCAAATTCTTTCACTCCCATAGTTGGCAACACCAAATAGATAATATTAGGCAATTGCTAGATAAAGGGGAGACATAACGTTTTCAGTCTTACTGTCTTAAAGAGAAAGTAGAGGAGCAACCAGGAAAAAGCTACAGCGAGATTGCAATGCACTTGCCTGTGTTAAAGAAGTCGCATCCGCAATAACAAATGGCACATTCACGATACGAGCTAGGGTTTTGGCAAGCAATGTCTTTCCTGTTTCAAATCAGAAAGGCAATGCACAAATCTGGAGAATGTTTATTTTAACCTAGAATGCAATCTAATGGGAAGAAACAAACAAACATACTACAACGAGTGAATGACCATGAAATCCGCATACCTGAACCAGTTGGCCCCATCAAAAGCACATTACTTTTATCTAGTTCTACATTGTCGTCATTATCTTCTTTAATGGGTTCTGTCTCTGATCTAGCATCCAAGTACATGGTTATTTTATAACAAATTGTTTTTAAAATGTTGTATTACTTAATTCCAATTCTGATTGTGGCATTAATAAAAAAAATAACCGAGATTGTGTCTGATGGATTCCATGAAATATTCAGCAAATAATGTACATTAGGGGAGTTTTTTAATGCATCGTTGTTAAGAAAATCATTTACACACCCTTTTTGCCGATATGCATGGTATATCCTTTTGTAGTGATTATGAACAGAGACAGCAAGCACCTGCCAAATGAGTGACAGTGAATTGAGGCTTAGGTCAAGACTAGAGAGTGAAAAGAAATAGCATAATTAGAGCCTAAATGAAGGAAACACTTCCTTCATAAGTATAGATTAATAAGTTAAAGTAATAAACAAACAAATAGATGAGGAGTTTGTATTACATGTATCAAGTCTATTCTAAAACCCCCCCACTTATCTATGCTCCGCGCCTCCCCCTGATCTGGCTAACCCCAACATCTCAACTACTCTCTCCATTATCAAATAAGCGTTCTAAATGAACTTTGTTCATAAATAGATGTCCATTTAGTGATCGGATAAAGTAAAACATATTTTAGTCACTAAGTTGTCTTCCCTTGCCTAGAAAAGGGATAGGGATAGTTTCTCAATTTGTGAGAAAATTAAATGTCACAAAAAATCTCATTTTTTCCTTAAGGACCAGATACTGAAAAGCAGTGGGAGTAGATGTTGTATCATCAATGCTACTAACAACCACCCTTTACAAGGTTAGGTGGAAGTGATACTGTTTGGATGATCAATGAGCATGAATAAAGAAAATGACCTTCTTGGCACGCTCTTGGCCAATGACAAACTCATCTAGTCCCTTGCAGATCTCCTTCGGCGTGGGTAAATTTATTCCCAAATTAGACCCACCCCAAGAACTCTTCTCCTCACTTCCACCGGGACCAGATTCTCCAAAGATATCAAAACCAGGGAGAAAAGGTGGACCAGGGGGCGTATGCAATGCTACCCCATTTCCAGAAGGCTGAGAAGGCGGTAGCCCCCACTCAGGAGGCTCACTGCCGTATATCTGAAGTGTCTCCCAGAAGGCAGACTTGAGTTGATTGGCAAACTCGGCCTCTTTGGCCAATCTCTTATCGGAATTCTTTCCAGTGGAATTGGTTTTCCCCCTCCCAATCTCAAAGAAACTTCCTTGAAGAGGTGACATCTTGTACGGCCGGAAATAATATCCTGTCTTACAATTGGGGCAGACATTCACTGCGTGATAAGAGCCCCCTTGTTTTGGATTAGCACTTCGATCACTAGTGTTATTTTTACCGTTAATGGAGTCATTATCTACATACACAGAGCTAGTTAGACCCCTGGTATTTTCGCCATTATCACTATCAGAAGCAAAATTCGGATCAGAAACAGATGCAGGAAAAAGTTTGGGGTTGCGGGTGGTGAAGACGAGATCCATGTGCTTGGAGCAGCGAGGGCAATTCACCTCCACCTTAATCCGCCTCGTCACCTGATCACCGGAGGAACCGCCCCTCTCCCATTTGTACCTCACCTGAACTCCGTTCACCACCGATTCTCTCCACCTCCCAGCATGAAGCGAGCCCAACAGCCCCCTCGTCCGCTTCCGCCAATCACCATTCCACGCAGACGCCGTTCCTACCGCCGCATCTGATGTCATCCGCCTCCCACAGGCGGCCATAACCGCCATGTCTCTCAGCTTCTTCCATCTCAAAATCCCGGACATTTCTATATCCGATTCAAAATACACATTCGCTCTGTTTAACCTAAAGAAATACAAATTCGAGATCCAGATCGGAGAATCAACCGTTCTAATGTTCTATCACCGGCAATTTGATCGCACAAAACTGCTAAATATATAAATAAACACCGAAAACAGAGGAAAAAGAGAAGATAAAGTGGAGAGAGTTTATAGGGAGAAGCAAAGAGGGCACAATTGAATGAAAATGAAGATTGTAAGAGAAGAATGACGAATGCATGTTCACCGTAAATAACTAAATAAATAAATAATCAGTTTTTTTACCACGTTTTCGTGTCCGCCATTTTCAACCATTACCAGTGAGTTATTTACAGACCGTCGAAAGACGCCGAATTCTCCGGCGAGAAGATGGGCTCGTGGCCGGAGGCAACCGTCCGATCCCGCCCGCCACTTGCGCTGCCGCCAAGAGACATTGCCGTAGCCCACATTGGAATTCGTTGGGCCGCGAGTCCACGAACCCCTTTCAAACATGAGAAATGAAAAAGTCTTGTGGACTATCCAAACTTTCAAAAGAGTAAAAAAATCATCAAGTAATTAAAAAATGAAAATTTAAATTAATGAATAACAAGTTTGTAGATTTTATAAATTTTTATTTTTGGTTTTAAAAATTTTGCTCAATGACAGTTGGTTTTGAAATATTTTTAGATGATTGTCTAATTTTTTATCAAACCATCAAAATTGAGTGTATGATAATCGTATTGATTATTTGGCAAGGTCAATTTGATCAACTCTATCACATATGGGTAATGGGTTTTTGGAGTAGACTCTTTTTTATTCATACAAAGCTCGTGAAGAAGGTCCAATTCCTATGCAGAAACTTCCTATGGAGCTCCTCTCATGAATACAAAAGAGTCCCCTTAGTTGTCTGGGATGACTTCTATAGTCCTAAAAAATATAGGGGATTAGAACTCAACAATCTGGTTATGTGGAATAAGGCGTGCATAATGAGGTTAGTTTGGGATATTGCTTTGAAAAAGGGCATCATGTGGATTAAATGGGTTCATATTTGATACATTAAAGACAATGACATATGGGTTTGTCCTATCAAAGCTAATTTTTAATTCTATTGGAAGAAACTTCTTCAAACAAGAGAATGATTTAGGATGCGTTCCATTCACCTAATCTGATCTGATCTGATTTGATCTGATCTGATTTGATTGGATCTAATCTCATATGAATTTGATTAAAATTAAAATTCTTATTATAACAGTTATAAAAGTAGTTATAATAATAATACTAATAATAATAGTAATAATAGTAATAATGGAAATATTGATAATAAATCATTAATAATAATAGAAATAATAATAATAATAGTAATAACAATAATAATAGAAATAATAATAATAATAAATTTTTTTAGATTTGGTCTGATCTGATTCGATCTGGTCTGGTCTGATTTGATCTGATCTGATTTTAATAAGAATAAGTAATAAGTTGAACGGAACGCTGCCTTAATGACATTGGCAGAAATGTTATCTATACTCCCAAGCTAAGAAAGAGTTGGCTGTGTGCTCATTTTTAATTTATTTTCACAATTATTTTCTCTTTTTTTATAATGTGGTGTGAAATAGGAACGCAACATTTTATTATGTTCGCAAATCACATTGTGTTTTTAGCATTTATTTACGTTTTTTTACAATATACATTGGCATGTTTGACATTATACATTATCATGTTTCTTAATAAGCATTACCTTCTTTCTCATTGTAAGATACTAAGATCCGACTAGCATTGTACAATGATATTGTGACACTGCATCAAAAAATAGGTAGGCTTAAATTTTAAAATGGGTGGCCACAATTTTTAAAAAATAATTTTGATTTTATTTTGGAAATAAAAATTTTAAAATCTTATTTTAGTCATTTCGCTACGTAATATTCTTAGTTTAGTCTTTCTCTCATTAAATTTTCACATGCAAGTTTTGAAAAAAAACAAATTTGCATAAACTTACCAACTACTCGTATAAGTTTTAACTTTTGATTAAGTTCTTCTTTGATAGGCACTACACAAATATTTTCTCTTCATAAATGAGAAGAAAACACCATAGCTAGAGAAGCTATTCTATTTTTTTTGTTTCCTTTTCAAACCCTTTTTCCGTATTTTCTCTACATTTTCTACTCATACAAATAACAATCATTTTCTTTCTATTTTCTCTCCAAAATATTCTCTTCATTTTCCCCGGTTTTAATTGCCTCATTTTAAAGTATTGTGACTTTAGAACTCACACCGTGTGGTCAAAAATTAGAAATCCCTTATAACTGGATGGGGATGAAAGAGGAGGTCACAACATTATGTTTTCATATCTTCATAATAGATTCTAGAAAACAACCCTCAATGTGGAAAATATTTCAATCATTTAAATAATATATTGTCTTCTCGAATTTAAAAGTTGGTGAATTCCAACTTGGTTTATGAGTGTAATTTTTAATATTCGTTTTAAAACAATATTTTTTGTTTGTAATACGCACACAACACACACAGATATATATTTTAAAACAATTTTTTTGTTTACAATTTTTCCATTTCAGATTACAATGATTACCGAAATTATTTTAGAGTCAATTTATATAAATTTTATTGTAAAATTAAAAAATAAAATTTATAAATTTAAAAACTACTCTAAAAGTTCTACAAAAATGGTGATAACTGATAAAACTATTTTATTTTATCAAATGATCAACAAAAACAGGTTAAAAGAGAATATAATTTTACAATGTGAATAAAAAATGAGAAGTATATTATTGTGGTAAAATTTGTGAGTTGGTGCCACAAGCTCATACCCTAGAGTAAAAACATTTATCTAATGTAAGAGAATCATAAATTAACTATGCACTTCAAAATCGGCCATATGGCAAGAACATATTAGAACTTCGGGTAGAAATAGCAATGGGATGAAACACCTAACTGCCTTGTGTGTAGCTCAAGTAGGGGAAATACAATCCTACAAGAGGAATGATACTTTAAACCCAAGAATGACACAAAATTTGACACCACTAGAGACAATCAACAGTCATTGTCCGCAAGAAATCATTGTCTTCGACACACTGGCGGTGTCACATGTGGTGTGACTGAGGCTTCATTCATCATGTAGTGGCACGCAGATGACTTATGGTTACAATGCTAGTTTTCATCTTTCCTCAGCTACGTAATATACGGATTCTTGTCCATCAACCAAGGCAGGGTGGATGGCACGCATTGTGGTGATGGTATTACCACGATAAAAACTCCTTAACAAATACGGAGTATTACAGAATTAGGCAAAAATAAAGTCATCATTATTCCCATTTCTGCATATAGATGGCTGCAAAATTAGTAAGGACAAAATTAGAAAAGAATATCAATATTACAAGTTTTAACTAATTGCGTTTTAGAGTTTTATTGACCAAAACTTTTACTCGTATAGATATACAGTGTTTTATCTAATTCCAAAATACCTGTGAGGCACCATTTTAGACAGCCATCCTATTTGAGTGGTTTCATACCCTGCATAGAGACATACAATGTTTCAGGTTAATGTATCACCCTAAGGTTCTATGGTTTCGATGACTGTGACCAATATACTTCCTTCGTCCCATAAAACTTTTCAAAGATGAAAAAAGGCACACCCTAAAAATTTGTAATATTGATTTTCTTTTCTAATTTTGTCCTTACTTTAGAATAAGGTAGGATATGATGTATAGGATACATGAGTCATAATTAGAAAATAATATCAAAATTACCCATTTTTTGGGACGCCTTTTTTCATCTTTGAAAAATTTACGGGACGGGAGAAGTATTATTTTAAACTCTAACATAAAGCATTAATGGACACAAGCACAATGTATGGTGGACACATGCCATGAACGGCTAGGAGCACTACCAAACAAAGTATATCTCACTCAAGAACAGAGTCTATGAAACCACTTCTCAGACTCATTTAAAATATGATTTGGAGTATGAAATGATCTCTAACCTTGAATTGTTCCCACTCATGAGGTTAGGGGAAACACTTCATTCATAATTTTATCCCTCCTTTCTCTGATTATTAGCAGAACCTAAGGATAAATATCCTGAGAGAATGAAATAACACTAATGCTGCATATGTACCTTAGACGCTCTGAACTCATTGACAGCCATTCTGAGAGAATCATCTGATAGTATTAGCCTTGATAAAGCCCCAGTGCTTAACCTGTATAAAGTCCAAGAAATCTCTCGTTGAATTGTACAACAGACACAAGTGAATGTTTGTCAAATGGCTGAAATAGCAGAACTTGGTCAATTTGCGGAGTGACTATCAATAGTGAACTATGAGAATGCATACTAAAAATAGGTTATCGTGTATCAAACAAACATAAACAAAGCAAACCAACAAGAATACCTTAGACTCATCCTAATAAACATATAAAAAAATGAGCTGACAAATTTTAAAGATTGGGTTAGAACACCAATCCACCATTTTGTTGGGCATGCTAAGACATCCTTTATTGAACAAATATAAAGAGAAAAACAAAATATCATGCTTTGGACTAGTATTATAATGACCTTTTGGGATGGAACACTAAGTCTTAATAACCCCCATGATGAGATAGTCATTTTGCACGCAACTGACAAGTTTTCATCGTCACCACTTTTCAGAACATGGAAAGCCCATTATGTGTACATATGGTCAAGCTTGCTAGCAAACAAGTAGCCACAAAGTAAAGGAACTGATATTAATATGATAATATCACATACCCCAACTTCTTGGCTGCTTCGGAAATAGATCCCTCAACAGCAAAAACTAGATCAAGTAGTGCTTGCATTCCCTGCAGGTTAAAGAAAGTAAAGAGTGGTCCAGACAAATTTAGGAAAAGAAGAATATAAACAGTCAAATGATGTGAGGGAGGGGTTAAACGGGACCGGAATAAATTTTGGATTGTTTGGTCCAATCGTAGATCCAGAATGGGATCCCTTGATTGATGACTTGGCAGGGAGTATCTGCAGTAGCTCTTCTGGAGGTGCATAAGCATCAAGATCTATGTTGTTCCTCACTGTCTCAAAGTAATAGAACAGGTATAATCAGATGAGTTCATCTATTATCGGAAATAGGTACTAAAACAAAAATGCATCATGCACAGCTGTTTTGAAGGCACATACATGCCATTTTTAGGTTTTTTTGTTGCTGGAGAATGGTGAATTAGGAGCTCTTCATTGCTCAAAACAGTGAACACAATAAGAAGCTAAATGAAAGGAAAAAAGTAGTTTCCAAAATTTGGGCCCCATGAGCTAAAATACATTCTCTGGCTTTCCTCAAGTACCAAGAAAGTGCATTGCTGTTTTTTCAACACCAAACTAAAGATGCATAGTTCATATGAGCCACACCTTCAGCTTAGTCCCACTTCTTGGGAAACAGCTTGTTAACCCAAAAAGCAAATTAAAAAGTATTCCTAACCCTATGTACTCCGTAAATTCTTACTCCAGAGTTTATCGTTCGGTACTGTACTGTGTAGTATGAAGCCTGGTGACCTCCTATTGTAGCAGCAAATAGATTGCTGCTTGGTCTGAATGCTTCAAAAAACATAGGGATCCAAGTGAAAAGCAACAAACCTTTAAGAGCAAGTTGAGCTCGCAACCGTTTAACTGCCGAGGCACGATTCATGTGTTGTGACCGATCTTCAGCAGCCTATGTAGCAAGAGGCAATATCAATAGGGGGGGAAGAAGAAGATAAGTTAATGGCATTCTCCCCTCCAACATTCCCAGCCAAACCTGAACTACATTGCCTCTTTTTATGTTAAAAGTATAAAATCTTTCCTAGACCCACAACCATAAACTTCAGTTAGTTCCTTAATCGCTATATAGCATCAGAGTCCTGCTGACCTAGAAGTCACGAGTTCGAAACTCACTGCTACCAGTTTAACAAAAATTAATGTTCACGTGGAAGGGCGTGTGAGAAACACAAGCTTCGGCTTTTTAGTTGAGTTGGTTCCTTTGACACTTCACCCTAAGTTATTCTTCTAGCAGTACTCACAAATCTGGAGAAAGATGATAACTAGTTGGAGCAAACCAATCTTCAGATCTTTTTTTCTTTTTATGAAAATCGGATTACTCTTTGGAGCTTAAAATATGTCGGGATCCTATAATCATATGAAGAATTTCATCTGCAGAAATGACAAACAAAAAAAAGGTGGACGATTAGGGGAATTATGTACTTGTGCAACAATACCGGTGGGACGGTGCTTTAGCCGCACAGCAGACTCTCTCTTGTTGCGGTGTTGTCCGCCGGGACCGGACGATTTGAACGTATCCATCTCGCACTGCCGCAGCAGCTGCTCCTCCGACAACATCAAGTACTCCCGGCCGCCTAGATCCTTATCGTCGCCGGAGGCGGTGCTGAGATCCGCCGACATAAATCGTTGGACTCGTTCCCTAATTCCCGGCCAGCTCCTCGCCTGCGTTGCCTTATCGACGGAAAGGACGGAGAAGCCGCGGCGGCGGCGCCAAACGAGGGAAGATGACAAGGACGTAATCGCCACATAGCCGGCGGTGGTCGGAAACTTTAGGAATGATTTGCAGATAGAATGTACCATCGCCATTGATATGAACCCCAAAAATGGAACTCCGGGCTAGTGGGGCTTTGTATAACGATCCTACTGTACTGCCATTTGTTATAATACTATATTAACTACACGTACGGGATTCGAATCAAACGGGGATGTAGCTCAGATGGTAGAGCGCTCGCTTAGCATGCGAGAGGTACGGGGATCGATACCCCGCATCTCCATTTGTATCATTTTTCTTTTTGCATTGTCCATCGTCATCCCCTGATGTCATGGATAGTTAATGACGTCAAAGGAAGGGTGTGCCATATGACTCGACCATGAGGTATTTTTTTTTGAAGGACCATGAGATATTTTAATTTGTGACACGATAGAGCTTTATATTGTTAGAAATTTAATTTCTCTTCACTAATCAAACATATTGAGACTCATTTTTATATTATTCAAAACATATAAATTTTGTTTCATTATTTTTATATCTCTACTTTTGTTGACCCCACGCTATGATTTGGACCACTACACTTTTATCACGACGTAGGAGTCAGTCCAAAATAGATCAGGAGTTCAAATCCAAATCCAATAACGAGGAAAGAAAAAAAAATATGCATAATTTACCTAAATAGTACTGAAAAATAGTAATTTTTCCAATATAGTACCATATATTTTTATTTCTCAATGTTGTACTACTGGTCGTTGTCCGCTTATCATTATTCAAGTAAATGTCCACCGCCGCTGGACATTGTTTAAACTAAACGTCCACCATCATTGGACATTGTTCTCGCTACTAGACATTATTTAAGTACTATTTAGAGAATAAAAAAGTTTAAGTACTACATTGAAAATGACATACGTTTTAGTACTATTTAGTGAAAAGTTTACAAAAAATATCACAACTAGTCTTAGAGATTTCTCTTATATCTAACGTCCAACATATAGTTTATTGATCTCTACTTTTGATTGCCAATTGATTTTAGGATGGAACCTCTATTTATGGGTAGGGTCTATACTCCAAATCCGCATAAACCGGCATTTGTCCTCACATGGTATGATTGGACCACTGGATTTTTATCACATGTTTCTACTCATCTACAACATTTGATATTCTGATTGTGACCTTTGGCATCTCTCTTCTATATTTATATAGTAAATTTTAGAGTAATTTATTTAAATAGGACTAAAACATAATGACTTTCCTAATATAAGATTATATGTTTTTATTTCTCAATATAGGACTTTTGGTCATTATCAAGTAGTCATTATTCAAGCAAATGTCTATCATTACTGGACATTATTCCTACCACAAGGTCATTATTAAGTCCTATTTAGGGAATAAAAAAGTTTAAGTCCTACATTAGGAAAGTCATTATGTTTTAGTCCTATTTAGTGCAAATTTCACTAAAATTTATTAGTTTTGCATAAAGTTTCTCTTTTGCCTAGCTAGTGATGATGTATATGAGCATTAACAATGACAAGTAAAGAAATGAAATGCCACACACTGAGGTTGAACATTTCAACTGTTACACCCTAATCCGTCCAGGTTTCCAATCCTTTTTGGACTAAAATATTAATTTGGTAACGTTGAATTTTTAAACATTAAAAATATTTTTAAACTTTATTTCATAATAATTTATTCAGAATAGTAACGGAGTATTTAAAATTTGCGGAAGCTTTAACAATCACAATTACAAAACATAAGTAATTTATGTCTTTAGAACTAATAATTTAAAACCAACAAATCCATCCCGATCATAATTACAAAACCCGCTAATTTCGGGTCGTATTTCGGATTAATAAGGGGTCAGGTCAAATGTTGTCAGGTCTAATAAATAGGAGTTAGGATTAGGCTTTGGATTAAAGACTAATGGACCGATATAATAGACTGAGCTGCCCCTAAATAAGTAATCAATATACGACTAATGGGTTGATCCAATAGACTGGACTGCCCCGACTAATACCATACAGATACTGGATACCCCATGTCCAGGGTATCCATTCGGAGGTATTGGGAAAATTCCAACGAAACGTCCGGCGAGGATTGTGGCTTACTCCAGCGACCTCTCACCAAATTGACAGCACCACCGCACTTCTCTCTCAACAAGAGACACTCAAGAAGAAGAATTAAGAAGAATAGTGAAGGTTTGAGTAGAGAGGATGTTCTTATATCGTGAGGTGAAGAAGAGGAAGACACATGATGCTGACTCCTCCGTGATTTTGTGATCGGCTAGTGCATTGGGAGGCGCCATTTGCACAGTCTCCCTGATTGAGACTAATTTGGTCCTAGTCAGGGTACACTTTTTAGTCTAACTTTCTGCTAATTAAAATCCAATTGTACTGTTGTGACCAGTCAGTCAAACTATACATAACGATATAATTTTCATTATTTATTAACAAACTTCATAAATCACTTATTTGTGGGTCTTTCTCAGTAATTAATTAATTGTGATAGACATATTTTCGGGGTGTAACATCAAGCAATCAAAATGAGTTCAATCAACGTGTAGCAAAAGAATAGAGTGACATGCCCTAGAGTGGCAAGTAATTTTTTGTTATTCTTTTACACTTTTTTTTACATATTTTAATCATTAAAAATTATTTTGATTACTTTATTTTCAAAAAAAAATTGATGTACTCTTTTTTAAAAAAGTAAGCTTTTTTTTTGTGCAAAAAAAAAGAATTTGAGACAACTGTCTTGCCCATGGAATGGAATGCAGAGTAGAATGAAGAAGCCACACATGACAACTTGGGTTGGAAGCTTACGTGGCAGGGCATGGTAGTCATTTGCGTCGCCATTGCCATTGCTCTAACAAATCGATAATGAATCATCAACGATGATGGATATGACCCCATGCAAGTATTTTGTGATGACAAATAGGTCCTCATATTGTTAGAAATCTAATATTTTTTCTTAAGCCAACCAAATACATTGAGATCGATTGTTATCTACTTTGTTTAGGATAAATATATTTTTGCATCATTGTTGGGTGGGGAAGTTAATGGGATGGGGACTTTTGCATTTTTAAAATGCAAGTTTTCATTTGAGGAATTTGATTCAAAAATGAAGAATTTGGTGTTGGTTTTCCTCCCACTAAGAGAAATTACCGTGGTTCCTCATTGTTCACTTTTTGCATTTTTGAAACACAATTTCCCGTGTGTATAAATTACTGCAAAAAGTTTATCCCGTGAGAAATTTTCCCCAAAATCTATGCCCATATTTTGTGTCGTCCCAAAAAAATTTACACCTTTAAAAAAAATTGCGTCACATAATCTCTTACACAATTCAATTAAAAAACTACTTTTCCCCCTCACTTTTTCAAACCCTACCTATCACATCATACCTTTTTTCATAATAATCTACACATCACATGCTACTTTTACCCGTACATCAAGGGTATTTTTGGAAAGTCAACACAAAATTATCTCTTCCTCAATTTCAACTTTAGTCAAAACATGTAAATCTTTTTGGGATGGAGGTAGAAACCCTAAAATATACTTTAAATAGCAAATTTCTAATGAATTACTCCGTATAATTTTGATTTACGCCTGCATTAAATAAAAGTTGAAATGAAAGTACTAAAAATAAATTATTTTCAAAATAATCTTTTTATACATAAAATTATACTCGAATTATAAATCTCGATGAGACGAGTTCAATGATATGTTCTCTGTGTGAATGAGTTATTGATTGTGTTGATTATTTTGACCATTTAAGCGAGTATAACAATTACAACAAATACAAAGAAGCTATTTTTAGGGGAGAATTCTCTCGATAAGAATCTATTATCAAAATACCAATATAGAAATATTAAGTCTTTTCAAACGAAAATAGGAACTCACAATATTATTGTTACACTGTCACACTCACTGATCATCACATTATTAGTTACAACTCCACACGATCATTGGGACATTGTCATCTATCATCGTCAACCACCAGAGTGCAATCGTAAATCGCTGATAATTGACTGATCACATTGTCATATCATCACTTTCTTATCACACTACCAACGCGTACTTTTACATCAAATTACCATTATATTCTTATTTTAGTTTTAGAAGAGTTAAGACTCTAGTTTGATATTACACGTATCTAGAGAGATTTCTTTATTTTTAATGTGAAAATAAAATGATTTTAAAAGAGATAATCTTTTACATTTGCTTGGAAATATTACAAACAATTTGAAACAAAGAGAGTACATAAGCAATAAGATGCTAGAGGTACACAAAAAATGTACCTCAAATGTACATCACCCCCTCTATTATCACTTATTTTATATTATTTATTTCTTTTTTATTTTACATGCCAAAATATGTGGTAATTTCGTAATGAAAGGAGTGATATACATTTCGGATATACTTTTGATATACCTCTAAAATTTTTGTAGGCTCATGGGCACATAAAAAATCTTTGTTTTCAACCATACGATTTAAAGGATAAATTTCATCCATGGTATACAAACTTTCATCATTATTTCACTTCGGTATATAAACTTTAATTCCTATCACAAAAATACACGAACTTTAAACATTCTTTCACTAGTGGTCCAATAGACAGTTTCTAAGTCACTTTCAGCTCATTTAAGTCAAATTATAATTTTATAAATTTAAATGTTATGATTTTAACTCCTTTTTTCCTCTTAGTTCTCCACCATTTTCTTTATCTTTTTCAAGACCCCCCCACCCTCTCTCTCCATTTGTTCTTCTCTTCCTTTTCCAGCCCCAACCCCACCCGCATCATTTTTTTCTCATCTTCCCCTCTTCTTCTAGTCCCCCACCCCCATTTTTTCTTTCTTCTTTTCTTCTTCTTCCCTTTTTTCTTTCGATCCAGCCCACCCCTCCCCTATTTTCCTTCTTTTATTATTATTATTGATATTGTAATTAATATTATTATTGATGGAAAATAATGCGTGACTCGGCCCACATTTTCCAATTATTTACGAAAAACAGTCAAACCAAGCCTGTTTAATAAAATAGAGGAATAAGAGAATATTCCTCCGAAGATGCTCCCCCTCCCTCCTATAAAAGGAGGGGTGCCCCCAATGTGAAAGGGAGGCCAAAACTCACTCCTTCCCTGCCCAAACTACTTTCTCTTTCTAGAAAGTCTTTAGAGTATATTTTTCCTTCTTCGTCAAGAGTTTGTAGCTCCACCATTAATGCCTTCCGAACCCATTTCATGTATCGTGTACACACCCCCGATATTAATAAAAATCCCCCGTTGGCAAGGTACCGCTAAAAAAGGTTCGTGGTTTTCTCCCGATTTGGGTTTCCACGTAAAAATCCTTGTGTTTATAGTTTGGTGTATTTTTTAGACTAGTTTATCGTTTTTTCTGGGCAAGAACAATATATCGGTCGATAATTTACACCATCATTTTGGCGCCGACTGTGGGACCCGAGCAAATAACTGTTACTATATTCATCCATTTTCCTCAATAAAAAACTGAATCTCAAAACCAATATCCAGTTTTTACCAGAGTGTTTTGTAAGCCAATTTGAGTCCCCTTTGTGCAAAAATTGGGTCCAAAGTGCTAATTTTGGGAGTCACTTCAACATGTCACTGAACAAAAGTTGGGGAGAAGGCAAAATAATACGGGGTAGAAAAAAGAGGTTGAAAGGTCCGTCGATTGGGAGGTCCACCATCCTGACAGCTACTCTTGTTGCCGCTGCTCAAACCTGCTGCCGTCGCCGCCGAATTCAATCGACGGGATTGCCGCTGCCGCCAAACTCAATCATCGTTGGTCGTTGGAGCCATTCACTGCCGACCGCATCTAGTGCTGGGAGCTAAAGTCGTCATCGCGGCAAAGAAAAAAAATTGGGGGCTTTCCTTCAAAAATCCAAAATGGCAAAGAGGAGTCGCCGCCCCCCAGATATTGCACGAGTTGCCGGCCTCCCCCAATTGGTCCAGCCGTATAACCAAAATCGTCATCACCACCGAAGAACTTGATCTCTGCCGCCATCCCTAGTCGCAGCCCAGCTTCGTCCCCACATGAGTCGCGCCATCATCGGCTCGCCGTTAAAGCCAGCGCCACCACCGTTCCACAGAGAGGGAGATGTTTGTTGGGATGGTGTGGAATTGCGCAGCGAATCTAAAGATCCTCCTCATCGCTCTCATCTTTCGCCTTTGTTACTGTTCTTCGGTTCCTCCGTGCTCGGGTTACTTGTTCCTCTGCAATAGATCTCCACTTTTGCCTCGGTGCCTCATCAAATCGGCGGCGTCTCTCTCCACCACCGCCACCTGCTCTCGCTCAAGGGAATGGCCATGGTTGGGGAGCTCGGATCTTGCCTTGGCTACGACGCCTAGAGGATCTCCGGCAGCACCGCCACCAAATTCAGCCACCGCCGGAGCTAAACCACCATCACTTGTCACATTATTTGCCCCACTACAGAAGTTAGTCACACCTTTGTTGAGAGATGGAGCTGCATCCACACTTTGACGGACCACCCCTTCAAAGAGAAAAGAAGAAGATCGATGCCGGAGATATCTCCCTGCCACCTCGGAAGAATACTGCCGCTCACGCACCGCCGGGAAAGATGTGAACAACTGCCTATTCGGGGTCGAGACAAAGATGATGAAGAAGTGGCTCTTAAGGACGGTGGGGAGCTCGTCGGCGTCGTCCAGCTGTAGTTCGGTGATGGACTCAAGGGCCCGTCGAGTTCTCTTGCTGGTCTTGGAAAAGTTAATTACTTTTTCTTAAGGGGCCCTCCCCTTAGCCAAATAAATACAAGCGGAATCCACTACCAAAAAGAAGTCTAAAATAAAAAGTCAAGAAAAGTAGACAATAGAGCATGTGAAGGCTTATGCTTCTCAGTTATATGGGTCCACTTGCAAATACCCATACGAGATGCATAAAGATATGTGTATCCATTGAAGCCACGTGATGATGGGCCTTGGACAAGTGCATGGAGTACAAATCAATCCAAGCCATATGCGGCCAACTCTCAATGGAAATTAAAATATGGAGGAGCAAATTTCAGAAGATATTCTAATTCAAGTGGGTACATGCTTTGTACCAATAATTAACAAGGAGACGGACCAAAGAGAGAGAGATAAGAGAAAAAGGGACGGCCAAGGAGGAAGGGAGCAAATGGAGTAGTAGTGGCGGGGTCCATTACTCTTATTACATCAAGAGGCACTCCACTTTCAAAAAATCAGGAGATACTCCAAATACAAAAGTCAAGGAAATGCTCCATGTGATGAGGCCCACGAGCAAACAAATTACTCTCGTCCAAGAGCATGCATGATGCATGGATATTGGGGGATTCTTCGGCAATTATAAAGGAAGACTGGGACACAGGCCCGGACCTGGCACGCCGGTTACTACACCGGTCTTGCTCATTATAAAATAAAAAAATAAAAAATCCGGAATCGGGGCCCAGAAGAGGGTATGCTTGCAAGAGGGCTGGACCTGGAAGAAGGTTCGAACCGTACTTACACGGGCCCATGAGGTTTGACCGGTATCAGCGAATCAGCCGAGACTGGCAAACTGATTGGGGACAAAAAAATGCCCATTAAAAGAAATAGAAGGGGATCGTCCACCGTGGCGCATCCTATTTCCCCCCTTCTCAGGGAAGACTTGAACGGGGGGTGAGCTAAGGCCTTCCCGGAATAGTAAATATCAAAGGGCCATTAAAAGACTTAATCACCCGGAAGAGGAGGCCCTGGAAGAAGGGTGCATTTTGGGCCTTGGAGAGGGCTCGAAACCATCCGACATGGTTAATTCTCCAATATTGATCTGGCCCGGCTAGCAGCATTATCTTATGGGAAGACTAAGACACAGGCCCGACCTGACACGCTGGTTACTACACCGGTCTTGCTCAGTATAATAAAGAAAATATGTGACCCAGTCGAACTGGTACACTGGTCTCACATCGGTCCTACACATATTTTCCAATAAGCCTGAGCCCAATCAAATTGGGTACACCGATTGCACATCGGTTTCAGCAAAAAAGTGAGCAAAGCTCATATCGGGGACGCCCGATTCATTGAAGCCCTCTATTTTGAGGCACCTTGATCGAAGATGGTCTCCGCGAGACATGAAGATATTTGCATCAATTAGCCGGGCTAGCATTGATCTTCAACAAAGCTGCTGCATCGTACTCAGTTCTTATTAACTAACGTGATGTCATCTGTATACTAAACTCGCCATGCATCGTTTACTTAATTCGTACTAACATCAGTCTCGACGAAATAACTACTTGAAGCACCGTCGCTTCATCGTACTAACTCCGGTGTTGTATAATTACTCGAAGCATCATTGCTTAATCGAACTGACATCGCTCTTGTTACGATAATAATTCGTGCGAAGTTTAATCACCCTAACACCGAGCTCCTCGGTAAAGATAATAATTATTTGAGCACGGCATAGGCCGGTCAAAAAAAATGTCGTACATATTATTTTTGCAGGAAAATCTTCCGATTCAAGAAATTTGAGAATTAATAAAGACTCGCAGGACTATCAATAATATCAACCGGTCAAGAATCCAAAGTACGAAGATTGAAGATAGCACTCGGAGGACTTGTTTACTTTTTCAAGTTGATGATTCTCACAACTTAAAAAAGTGGAAGACTTCTTGATAGGAAATAATGCGTGGCTTGCCCACATTTCTCAATTATTTACGAAGAACAGTCAAACCAGACCTGTTTAATAAAATAGAAAAATAAGAGAATATTCCTCCAAAGATGCTCCCTCTCCCTCCTATAAAAGGAGGGGTGCCCCAATGTGAAAGGGAGGCCAAAAATCACTCCTTCCCTGCCCAAACTAGTTTCTCTTTCTAGAAAGTCTTTAGAGTATATTTTTCCTTCTTCTTCAAGAGCTTGTAGCTCCACCATTAATGGCTTCCGAGCCCATTTCATGTATCGTCTACACACCCCCGATATTAATAAAAATCCCCCGTTGGCAAGGTACCGCCAAAAAAGGTCCGTGGTTTTCTCCCGATTTGGGTTTCCACGTAAAAATACTTGTGTTTATAGTTTGGTGTATTTTTTATACTAGTTTATCGTTTTTGCCAGATAAGAACGATATACCGGTCGATAATTTACACCATCAATTATTATTATTAATATTATTATTATTAAGATTATTATTATTATTATTTAAGCTTCTTTGACTCAGTCAAAGCCCACCCGTCCCCTTTTTTAAATTAAACTAATTATTATTAATTTACATAGTGATGATGTTTATTGTTGACTTGATTAAACTTTATTCAATTTATTACGTTTATAAAATACTCCGTAGTATATTAAATTCGTCCTTATTTTATAAATTTTCAATATAATTTTTGAACTTATTTTTTAAATTTTTATTTGTATACTACTACGTAATTTCTAAATATACTGAATTAGAAATAAGTTCTAACTTTACATAGAAATATTGGACAGAGGTTGGAATTGTTTTCAATTACGTAATTCTTTTTATTTATTTCATAATATTTCCATTCAAATATATTACAATATTACGAGTTGTTCGATTTTAGCAATTGTTATTTTTTTCTACAAAGTATTTAATTTATTTCTTGGTAGTACTTTCTTAACAGTTCTACACTTCCAATAATCTTCTAACATTCCAATTCTATTCCAATTGTAATTTGTTTTAATTTTTTTGACATAAAATGCTCTTTAATTACTCCAAATTTGGACAGACGGTAAAGTTACAGTTCTGAAAATTACAACCATATTTATACAAATAAGACTTGTAAAAATAAAATAAAAAAGTTCAACTCTCTTGTTTGTATATATATAGTTGTAATTTTCAAAACTGGAACTTCACCATCTGTCCAAATTTGGAGTAATTAAAGAGGATTTTATGTCAAAAAATCTATTAAAACAAATTAAATTGGAATAAAATTAGAATACTGGAATATTATTGGAAGTGTAGAACTGCTAGGACAGTACTACCAGAAAAATAGATTAAATATTTCGTAGAAAAGAAAATAACAATTGCTAAAAACCAACTTCTCATAATATTGCAATATATTTGATTGGAAACATTATGAAAGAAATAAAAAGAATTACGTAATTGGATACAATTCCAACCTCTGGCCAATACTCCCATGTAAGAACTTATTTCTAATTCAGTATATATAGAAATTACATAGTAGTACACAAATAAAAATTAAAAATATATGCTCAAATATTATATTGGAAATTTATAAAGTAAAGACAAATTTAATATATTATTTTATAAATGGAATAAATTGAATAAAATTTAATAATGTCAACAAAAAACATCACTATGTAAAGTAATAACCAATTTAATTTAAAAAAGGGGAAGGGTGGGCTTTGACTGAGAGTCAAAGACGCTTAAATAGTTAAATAATACTACTACTACTAATAATAATAATAATAATAATAATAATAATTACAATATCAATAATAATAATAATAATAATAAAAGAAGGATAAAAGGGAAGGAGTGGGCTAGATCAAAAGAAAAAAAGGGAAGAAAGGAAAAAATGGGGGTGGGGGGCTAGAAGAAGAGGGAGAAAAGAGAAAAAATGGTACAGGTGCGTGGGACTTAGGAAGAGAAGAAAACAATGGAAGGGAAGGATAGAGAGTCATGAAAAGATGAAGAAAAAGGTGAAGAACCAAAAAAAAAAAAAAAAAAAAAAAGATCAAAATCATAAAATTTAAATTTATAAAATTATAATTTGATCCCAAATAACCTGAAAGTGACTTAAAAACTACCTATTGAACCACCGGTGAAAAATTTTAAAATAGATGTATTTTTGTGATAAGATTTAAAATTTATAGACCAAAATAAAATAGTAATGAAAGTTTGTATACCATGAATGAAATTACCCCACAATTTAAAGCTAAAATATAGAAATGGCAAATCGGTCAATCAAGTCGGGTTCGATCACTTCAAGTTCGGGTTATTTCAGATTCGGATCAATTCAGGTTCGGGTTAAGAAATATATGTTTATGACCCAGTGTCATCGAGTCCAAGTCAACAAACAAGTTAAGACTTTGGTATTTTAAATTTTTAAATTCACATTAACACGTACTAAAGAAATTTAAATATCAAAAAAAAAAAATATAAAATCTATAAAATTATTTTATTTTAAACTCTAAAGTAATTTTTAGATATATAAATCAATATATGGAATGCTTAAATTTTGGAAAGAAGTAAGATACTTATGCAATACCAATAAAATTGTCTGAAAATATAAATTTACTACCTCCGTTCTATTCTTTTTGTCTACTTTTGACTTCGTTTCATCTAAGCACTTTGACTCATCAAATTTTCTCAATGTGCAAGTCTAAATATAATTATGTGTGATCTTATTTGATTTGTCTTAACATATAGATTATTAATATATAATTTTTATAATTTTTTAATATACAAATTACAAGATAAAATGGATTAAAGAAGTGCATTAAATGATGTGCCAAAAGATAAGTGAACAAAGAGGATGGGATGGAAGGAGTATATACTAAAAACGGGTACTAAAGTGCATAATTTTGAAAAATTCTTACTTTAACGAGTAGGTCAAGTCGGGTTCGGATTCGATCATCAAAACCTTTGTTCAAACAAGTGTTTTCAGGTTAGGTCTTGAGTCAAAAAAACAAAAAGATAATTTATGTTTGCCTTATAGGTAGTGACAATTCTTAGGTGTCAATATACTAAATCTGATAATAAATGCATCTCATTGACAAACCTTAACAAAAATATTTGAGGTTTGTTTGGGACATTTGAAATTGACTAAATTGGAATTCAATTTGAATTCAAATTCCAATTCTAATTCATTTTTTAGATTATTGATTCCAAATCTGCATATTTTTGTACTACTAAACAACAGAATTGAAATTGAAATCTCCAAGTCTCATTCCGTGAAATGAATTTTGTGTACCAAACAAAAGCTCACAAAAAAATTTCCAACCCCCATTCAAAAAAGGTTTTAAAGCAAATTAAGGACTCGTTTGGAAACTCGTTTTCAACAAAAGATAACATTCTTGACAATCTATGGTTTCCAAACGGGTCCTTAACAAAATGTATATATAAAATAAAGAAATGAGAAAGTGCATCAGAGAGATTCCCAACGACAAATCATCATTCACATAAGAGTTCTGATGTCCCTGTCTGTGTGTCATCACTTGCACCAAACACACAAAAAAGAAAGATAAAAACTTCGTAAATTTGCCAATAATTCATTAAACACAGAGTTTAATCCAATAATAAAATAAACAAAAAGATTTATTTCAAATAAATGGTCAAAATCTGCCTCTAAGACTCAGATTTAGGTTTTTTTCATCGAAAATTCAACGTATATATAATGCCATCACGGTAAAAAAAAAGAAGCAGAACTCGGTAAAACGAGATAATGAAAGAAGACGATTATAAGTTGAGAGACGAACCGAACCAGACGATCGGCGGATCTGACGGGAGAGAAGAAGGAGCGGCGCTTAATATAAAGAGTATAAGGGGAGCAATGAGGCTAGGGTTTGACATCCGGGTTGTGTGCTATATAATGTGGGCCTTCTCAAATGTTTTCTTCTCAAATGTTTTCAATGGACTTGTAGTTGACTCTCTTTAGTTTTAGAACGCTCAAATGTATTTCGAGGCCGGTTTAAATGACATTGAGAAACAATGTCATTGGGTGACTCGGGGGTGCTCCGGTGATTCGTTCGTAAAATTAACGGTTTTTACCCCCCAGTAAACCCCCCGCCACGCCCCGACCCGAACACGCCCTCCCACCCCCATTCAATTGCACCCCCAAGTTGATTTTGACTTTGGAGTCAAAATGGGGGGTTTACCGGGGGGTTAGGGGGTAGGAACAGTCAATTTTACGAATGGGGCACCGAAGCACCCCCAGGTCATCCCATGACATTGGTTCTCAATGTCATTTGAACCAAGGTGATATATTTAATTATTTCATATTTGAAGCTCGTAAAACAAGTATGGACCTAATAACTACTCCCTCCGTTGGGGAATATTCTTACTGGATTGATTTGGCACGCTTATTATAGAGAAATAAAAAACATCAAATTTTCAAAAATGCACATATTATAAACTTTTAAATCTTCTTTTCTTATTAAAAAAATAAAAAAGTTGATTAGTGATAAAATAGAATGGTATTATTGAAATTTAGTCTTAAAAAGTATACTAAAAAAAGAAATGTAAAGAATATTTTTGGACGGAGTCAAAGAGGAAAATGGGAATAATATTTCTGGATGGGGAGTGTAAAAATTCTTGATAGGGTAATATAGCAACTTTAATTGTCATTAAAGATGACAAAATTGAATAGGATAAAGCTATTTGTAACCCAAAAATTTGTACCCCATTTGTATTCCGCATGTGTGCACCGACATTTTGTATTGGTGTAATACTAATTTTTGTTAACGCACCAACATTTTGTATCAATGTAAATTTTTGTTAACTGCCATCATTTTATGTCAATGTGAACCATCAAAATATTAATTTATATTTTTAGTGTAAGTTTAGAGTACAATTTTTGGTGTAAGTGTTCCAATTGAATATTACGTAGTACTTGCTTGCTAATATTATTGCTATCAAATACCAACATGGTTGGAGTCTTCGTGACGCTCTTAGAGTCTTAGGCCTCTTTGGTTCGAAGGAAGGGAAGCAGAAGCAATGGATGAAGAAAATGTTAAAGGATGTTATGATTCTCTTCATATTGTTTTGCTTAGGGCGGAAAGTAAATATTTTGTTTTGGAAAAGACACTAAAATAGTAGTAAAATATTGAAAATATATCAAAATATGACTTTTATATCTTTATTTTTGAAATAGCAGTTAAAGTGCATTTATATTACCAAAAATATAGTAATGTGCACGTGTACAGTGCAACATTGCCTCGACATTATCTGAGTGTGAACTCCTATTTGGGGAGTAAAAAAAAGGAATTCCTATTCTGATACTTTTTCTATGTTTTAATCTTATTTACTGTGATTTTTATTTTGTTTTTAATTTTTTAATATTTTTTATTTTAAAGATTTAGACTTTTATCTTTTTTTAATTATTACCAACATTTCTATTTTATTTTTTTAAATTTAAATTTTATAATTTTTATTTTAATTATTAGTTTTTATTTATATTATATATATTTTTCATTTTAATTATTTTATTATTTTTTACTTTTCATGTATTTACTTATTATTTATTATTTTTATTATTATTTTGATTATAATTTACAACTTTGAACTTTATTTATTTACTTATTTATTCATATATTTATTTTTTTCAATATACTTATTATTGTTACGTTTTAATTGTTATTTTATAATGATTTTTTTGTTATTACTTTTTATAATTTTATAATTTTATTATTTTCAATTTTTATTTTAAAATTTTTATGTATTATATATTTCATTTATTATTATTGTTTAATTTCTTATTTATTTATTAATATAACTTTTTGTTACTATTAATTTTTACAACGTATTTATTATTTTATAATTATTTTATTTTATTTTCACACTATTTATTTTTATTATTTTTGTTTGTTTTATTTATTTTTATTATTTTTTAAATAACGCTGTGAAGTAAAATTGACGAAAGATAAAGAGAACATTAGGGAAGGAGGATTTGTTCGATTTGAAAGAATTGATTTGGAGGGGTGGGAAGAACTGGAAGCTCAGATTTTGGGTCTCAGAGCACTAGAAATACGTATGAAACCCCGGGGCTTCAAACTAGGACTTCAAACTTTCATTTTTTTATATTTTTAAATATACATCTTCTAAATTTAAATTCATAAATTTAAATTAATTTGTTATTTAAATTAATCGCAATGAGAATAGTGCATTAAAAAAATTACATTGATTAAAACAATATTACATTTACATTCATTAAAAAAATTACATTCATTAAAAAAAATGACATTCATAAAAAATAAATTCATAAAAAAATTACATTCATTAAAAAAATATTACATAAAAAAACAACACTACAAAGAAATCACTAATTATTCGAGCGACTAAAGATATGTTCGATCAAATCCGCCGTTAGTGCATTGTGAATCTCTCGGCTTCGAATTTCTTGGCGGTTTATTCGTTTCTTTTCTTCGGTGATTTCTTCATACATAGGCACCTCCTCGTCCGGGTTGTATTGATAAATCGCAGTCCCGTTATCCTCTATGATCATATTATGAAGAATAATACATGCGTACATGATATTCATCATTTTTGTTTGAGATTAGCATTTCGACGGACGATCTAGAATTTGTCATTTACTCTTCAAGACCCCATTTTTAAAATATATTTTATAAATATTGATAATAAATAATAAATATTTTAGAGAGAATATAGAGAGAGATGTGTGAGAGAGATGTGAGAGAGAAGAGAGATGTGTGAGAGAAAGGGGGATTTTATAGGTTTTTTTATAAATCTAGAATTTTTTTTAATT